CTTATTGTTGCAAATTAATCGAACGATTAATCTTTCAAGTCACTATAAGACATCGTAATTTTATGCAAAATTAACTTTTTTTTTAATAAATTCGCTCAGAATACAGCACTAATTTTAGGTGGCTTAAGATTATTTAGGAATTGTAATTTAACTATTAATAATCTAGTACCACATTTTAAAAACACTGCCCATATATCTAAGTAATTACCAGCGACATCTACAGGATTATTGGAATGACATTAATAAGTACGAAAATATTTCAACCATAAAACCGTTAAATTTAAAAAAGTCACTTTATAACATCTGTTATGATTCTACCGAGAAACGTGAGGGTTTTAATATTTAAAAAAAAACACGATGAAATAAGCAATCGAAATAAAACAACAAACAGAGACTCCATAAAAAATAATATTTATAATCAGTTTAAAATGTACAGTAGACAAAATAACGGCTATAGATAAGTTATACGAAGCGTCGTTTTATACAAAATTGCGTGCGGATCGCCTTTAAAGTTCACAAAAGACTAGCAAAACTAACTCTTGTGGCTACTTGAGCGATAACTGTTGTTTAAATAAGGAATAGTTTAAAAAAAAGTTGTTTAAACTTCCGGTGTTAAGCGTGCGCAAGTTGCCTATTGGTGCGATATAATAGGTACTTGAAATTTTTCAAGATGCGTGAGGCGATGTTTATTTCTTCTCATCTAAGTCACATATGAACCTGTGGAATATCTACATAGGGCTGATTTTTCAATAGTCAGATAAATGTAATCTGAGGAATAAAATTGTTGCTGTCACTTTCTTATACAAACATTCTGACGCGACAGCATCACAATTATTGCGCAGATATATTTATCTTATTATTGAAAAAAATTAAGGCTGCTTAACCCGGTTCTTAGTATTTGTTTTCCGAACAAAACCGCTACTATGGTATAGTACGCTAGCAGCAAGTTACTTAAATTAAGGCAACAGAAATATATTGCCCAAAAGACACAATATGTTAAAAGACAGATAACTGAGCCTTGGTTTTAGATATTGCATTGTAATTATTATATTAGGTTACAAAACCCTCAAAAGTGGCTCGTTATATGAGTTTTTGTTGAAGGGTTTACCTAACCACATAAGTATCCACCTTTGAGAACAAACAAGAGGCTTAGAATAGGTTAATGATCATTGACAGAAGACAATTTTATACCATATACCTAACTAAAAGGCTTTGGGATAAATATTTTACTGTGAACTTTGAAAATTAAACTAAATTCAAGTCGAGTTAAATTAAAACGATGATAAATGCTTATGTAATCAGAGTATGTTATGTTTTATGTGGTAAAGATCAGGCAGAATAACTTATGGTAAGCAAGTTACGGTCCTTTTTGGGGATTTAAGGACAATAATTACATTATTATTATTATTATTTGTATTAAGATATTATTTCGTTGTATTTGTTAGCAATTAATATTTTGAATTACTACAGAAACTAGTATCTTTGATTGGAAGTCTAAAGAAAAATCTTCTCTAAGATTCTTCATCTTTCCATCCTTCATAGTCCACTTTACTATCTATAGATTTATGCACATACACAATTTTGAATTTGTAATCGCAATTTAAGCTGTGTTTTGTCAGTTAGTAACTCAGTAACGGAAGTTTTTTTTTGTAATAATATTTAAAAACAACCACAGATACCGCTCAACTACCAAACAAGTAGAACATACTTCTATTACTAAATTATATAAACCAAAAATTTTATCAAAAAACAAAATTATACACTTTTCTAATTTACTATCAATGCAATCATTTGAAATTACAATCAACATGTGCCAAATAAAAATCTTGATTTATTAATGAAGAAACTTGTAACTTAAAGGTATGTAAATAAATATCAAGAAAATAAACAATCCTGTCGTGTTTTAGAAAAGTCACAAACTAGAAAACTCCTGAACATAGTGAATAGTGATAGTTTGGATTACGTTAAGTCACGCATCGAACCGTTACCGCGTTTAGCCCTCTGATTGGTTGATGAACTTGGAACAGACCAATCAGAGCGCCGTACGTCATAAACGTGTCGATCGTGGAGGTTAGAAAGAAAGAGAATAATCGCTTTAATAAATAGGTACAAAATAAGGGAGTCGCTGAGAGCGCTGAATTGCTAGGTCAACAAAAAATTAACTCGACGTTTGAAAACAACAAATGATTGAAAAATAACAATAATTTTATTCATCGATCTGTCGTTATACTAAATTTTAAATATATTTTTCTAATTTTTAAGAAATAAGTAAGCTATTTGACGCGAAAATATTATGACGTCATAATTTTAAGTTCATAGAAAAGTATCGTTTCTGACATTTGAATAAAAGTAATGATTTTGACTAGTTGGAAAGTACCGAATTATTTCAATAAAAGCGGGCTGTTGTGCGCTAACTAAAACCGTGAAGAAAATGTGTACATTTTGCAACTAACTGAATTTACTTGAACTCATAAACAGCTAATTTCACAGATACTACTTACCGACTGGTGGCTGAAAAATGAACTATTGATTCAATTTTTTAGGAACAAGGGGGCTAATGTTTTATTCCGTAGCGGTGGTTCTCCTTCTATGTAACCTTTATGGTGCTAGCGTTAATTTTTCTCACTAATTTCACCTTTTGGGATGAAGAATGAATAGTTGTATTCGGTTTAATTCCGTAACAAGTTATAAGAAATTTACAATACCTATTAAATGATTCCTTCTCACGTAAATTGCTTTATCAATAAATTAAGATTTCATTTTGACAAAGGTAACACTCATCTATTACGATCTCTCTTGAATATCGAAACGTATTTCGAAACAACTAAATCGATTATTAATCGATCATCGTCAAAAATCGCCTAAGCTTTAGTCGAGTCAGTGAAATGTAATATTACTGAAAGCACCGGGATCAGGAAGTAAAACGATAGTAGATATGAGTATATCTAGGTATGTACAAACCATTTATTTATTTTTTTATTGCAAAGGCACTCCTTCAACTCACCCATCTAAAATTGGAACATTTTTATCTATCTACGAATTATTTAAAAATTTAAAATTTTCCCTTTCAATCATTTTTATCGTATATACATTATTATTGTACATTACTGAAGATTTAAGCTAAAATTCTTAGCAAAAATGCTTTTAAATTAAGTCCTTACCGTAATTGCTATATGGTCGAATTTGGCACGCTTTAGGATAGCTGATAGGCAAGGCCAAGATCGTTTATCTAGCTAAGAGCACAGCTTTATAACAACTAATTATGATTTAGAAGAGTATTGTTTAATTATTTAATATGATTTATGTTACTAGAGGCATTAGTGCAGTTTTGAGACCTAGTTCGACTAACTTGTTAATTGACCTACTAGTACTCTAAGCTACACTAGCGCCAATTTGAGAGAACTAAAAATGATAAAGAATAATTTTTTGGACAATGTTATTTATTCATTTTTAAATAATTTTACAAAACAATACTCTTTTATTATGTAGCTATGTATATTACAAAAAGTCATTATAAAAAATAAAAATAGTATTCTAGTTTAACTAGTATTTCGTCAATAGTTATCTATTATTTAATAGGTTACTAGCATTTTAATAGTAGCAGATTACAATACAGTAGTGTCTTTACAAATAGACTCTTATTTGAAAACCATAAGAATTACCAATCTCTTATAGAATTTATTCAACAGAGTGAAACTAAACTATACAATCATGTGTTACGTGTTTGAGATAACTAGATGGCGCTAAACCACCATTTTCTATCAATAATTATGAGACATCCATATAATGTCTTTGCGTCAAATAGTTTATTATTTCTCGAAAAATACGGAAATTAAGTACAAGTATAATATAAAAACAATAAATGAAAGTGTAATTTTTTGATTATTTTATTGTAACTATTGAAAAATACTAAAGTTCTTTGTTACAAAATATACGATGCCAATATTATCTTTATACCAATGAAATAGAGGTGAAAATCAGTTGAATAAATTCTACGCAAGACCGATACTTTTTACTATTTCCAAATTGAATTCATACAGCTATTGTATGTAGTTATTATAAGTAGGTATATCGAGTTCATATCTTGTCAAGTATCTGTGGAAGAAATGTTACAATAAACTTTTGGAAAACTTTATTTGGAGCACCAAAAAGTATTATTAATACATAGGTAATATTAATTTTCTGTACATCAATAATAGATTTAAGTCAAATATAGGGATGGTGTGACCATTTATGGAAACCAATAATTCCACGTCATACACGTATTTTTTGTTTTCTCATATATATGAGGGCAATCCTAGTTCTGTTGTTACGTCACTGTTTAGTACAAACTGTACTGAATTGTGACGCCACAGGATATTTCGATGAATATATCGTCCAAAGTAAAGTATGTAAAGTGTGTAAAGTATTTCATTCCTAAAGAAAAGAAAAAAACACGCGTTTGATTTTTTTAATTTATTTGAAATACGTCTATCTCTATCTATTGTCGCTAACTAATTACTAGTCACCAAAAACAGTCGTCTTTTTTATAAAGTGTCTCTATAGTTCAAGAGCCAGATGCTATATTCGCACATCATCATGAAAGCGACGCAGACGCAATAATGTAGCTAAATCGAAATTAAAATGAAACCATTTATTGATTGTGTCATGGACGCATGAGCATGAAAACGTAAACATTCGTGTTATATTTAATAAACGGATATGTTCCGTGTGTTTACAACAATTTATAATATTATTGATAATGTTATACTATTCAACTTGTTTTGTAAATATTGACGTTAATTGCAATTCGTCACCGGTGGGGTGAAGAGCCCGGTCTATTTACATTAACATCCAATTACCGAGTTTTGACATAAGTACATATAAATGTATAACAATAACAACATAACAAATAGTTTATATGATCATAATTAATACAAATATGTATGATGGAACAACGATAGGATTAATAGACTATACGTATCAAACCGAAACTTATAACAATCTTATTTATAAAAACTTGACATTTATAAACTGTTCTATAAATGGTTTATAAACACTACGCAATACACATCCCTGTCTCTCGTTTTCAATGTGGCGCGATTCGATTACGACTTTATGGATGGCGAATGATTCATCGCGCCTGTCTCCCCGACTAGCTTACTAATATTAATAGTGATGGGACTCCACACACATTCTTCACACCTCTCAGTAAGGCTCTGCAGAAACGATTACATACAACCACATCTTGTGATTCGATTTTAAAACGACATCTAAAAAGACTAGTCAATTTTCATCCTCACACCTTCTATTAAAACCTTATAAATTACCATTTATTTGTATAAAGTTCGGTACAAACTCTAAAGGCATCTTCACCCCGCGAACATCGCGCACTTAGTCGACTATACATATGTACATACTAAAACTATTTAGACGACTTGTTCCGTGTCGTCACGCGTGCTGGATATGGCATCTGTCGTGGTCGAGGTGGCGGCACTTCTGTACAACTTCAGATTTGACTCTGTGTAATCTAAAATTTTCCTACTCGAGTGCCTTATGTACAACATTTGTCTGTGATAGATTTTTAAAGCTCCTTTTATCGTGATGTAGGTGATACCGCCTAGTATTGTCCTGTGTAGGTTGTTTTGTATGGATCGGAAGAATATTTTGCCTATGATTGTGGAAATGGTCGGCAGTAGGAGTGCTGAGCAGAAGATCCGTGTGGGTGATAGATGAGAGTTGTTCGTTTGATGCTGGTTGTTGTGACCCACTAAAGCGCCTCTGTCGCCTTCCACACTGGAAATTATGAGATAAGTTTTTATTTATTTCATTCGTTACTACAGTAATAATTTAATCAAATAATAATTAACTTAATTGCTATTGCGTTTTCATATTAACAATGTTTTGTTCAATTTCTTATTATTATTACTTATTCAGTAAGAGCGTCTGTGACTGTGACTGACTAAGAAAAACCCAATTAGGTACAATTTTTAAAATTGAGTTTAAGGGGTAAATTTGGGTAATTGAATTTTTTCGAATACATTTCGAGTTAAATGGAATAATCGAGTGGATTCTTTTATGAACAAAGTACTTCTAAGCGTTCTTATAAACAAAAGTTGATTGTGAGCATAATAGTGACAAAAAATTATACTTCACTGTTCAAATAGTGGAAGGGCAAAGGATTTTGCGAGGTGGGCAACGCACTACTTGGTCGTTTTGATAACATGACCAGCTCCGACAACCTTTTATCATTAATTTAAGCATACTATCAGTCCTTCAAATCTTCGAAGAGCACTACGAGGGAAAGCCATTATTCGGCACAAATGGACCGGAGTGTTGCCACAACTTCACAAAAGTCAAGTCTAAAGTTATTAATAAATTGTTTCGACCAAAGGCCTTGTCCCCAATCCCTGTTACAGGCCGGTAATATACTTAAGGCTCGTCCAGTGCTGCGAGTGTAAATGTGCGGCCGATTGCTTATCATCAGGTGATCCAATATCTCATTTCTAGAAATATTCCATAAAAAAAAAGCTATACTTACTTGCCAAACGGCAGTATATAAGAGAGAGCGGGTATCTTCGCGCAGTACTTCCTCAGGAAGAGTAAGACGGAATCCTCCCAGTTATACATTTTAGCGCTGATCAACGTCACTGGTATCGTCGGCAGCAGGACCAGCAGGACAAGGGGATCTGCTGACTCCATCATCTCTAATCCTTCCCTGTGACCCACCACCTGGAAAGATAAACATTAACATTATTAGACTGCAACTGGCTGCTAAGCTAGTGCTAAAGTGTATAAAATACTATAAACGTCAAATAAGTACCTTGCTTATTTCTTTTTAATGATCTAATTCTAAATTATATAGTAAAATAAACGAGGATGCGATTTTTTTAATTGTGCTTATGGTGTTTTGAGTTGAAATAGTTTATTTTTGACTGAGGAAGCTACCCAATTCTTGACGCGATAACAGCTGAACAAATTCAGTTAAGTACGTAATTATTTAAACATTTGTTTATGTCTGAAACGGGCTTGTATTGAGAAAAACATGAACTTTTATGAATGTTGGTACACTTTACGCAATCTATGAGTATGTCATAAGTCTTATTATAACAAGGTGCAGAAGGTACTTATAATCAAGGCCTGCAATACAAACTATGGTACACTAATAAGACTTTTTTTCAATTGATATCGATTGTTTTTAAGTGTGGGAGAGCCATGCTTCGGCACGAATGGGTCGGCTCGACCGGAGTGATATGACGGCCTCACACAAAACCGGCGTGAAACAACCACATCGTCATCGTGAGTGAAGTTACCAGATGCCCATTCCTTCCCCTTCACCAATCCCTCCCCAAACGGCATTGTTTAAAAGTCTTCAATCTTACATACAAAATGGCTACTCAAAAAGGTTTTTTTCTGACCGGATACAAAGTTTATCTTCGCTCATCTTAACCTTGCCGCCGAAAATTGTATTGCTTGTAATAATAACAATCGTGATATGCCAACAAAAAGTTGTAAGCCTCATACAATCATACTTTAGACCTCCGCTCGCAAAGCGATTATAAAGGTGATTTTAATGATATTATGATGAGTTATTATTTCACGTAACTAGTTATATAATAACTATCGAAACTCATATCTAGTTGCTAAGAAACTCAGACGGGTTTGCCTCAGCCTGGAGAAGGAATGATGTGGTTTTTAGTCAGTAAGTCCAGCTCTCTCTTGCCCCGCCCAGGGCCAGGAAAGTGCTTTGACGACCTAACAAAAAAACACTGCTAAGAACCAGTAAAAATTTGAACTAAGTAGGTACTTATTTCTTTTTTTTACTTCTATAATAAATATGATTATGTAGTCAAGAGTCGACACAAAAACATTTATTTCAACTAAACCATACAGGTGCTTCTGAAACCTAATAATAGAATCGAATAGAATCTGTCAGTCAGTCTGTTAGTCAGTGAAGTTAGGTGTTCTGTAGATTCAAATAGAAAAAGGAGCAAGGAACTCTACCCAACAAACTAGAAACTATCAAAAAGATATTAAATATTATATATTCAATTAAGTTCCTATCTTTACACACCCGTCATTACAACCCTTAGTGCAAGGAAACAGTGGTAGGTGGTGGTAGTGCCTTCGTTATGCTTAGCTTGGCTAATCTTAGCGGCGTACGATAAATCACTCCCGACAAAAAAACGGGACAAATTAGAATAAATACGCCATTTAGAAAAAAAATATATAAATATATCGAAACTGTAGTACTGTAAAACCTTCAACAATCCAACGTATACGACACGTTGGGCAAAATTGATTTCACGCTCCAATCAACCGTGACAATACTTAACTTGGCTACATACGACCAATGTATGATCGACATGGTTAATAAAGTGTAACTGCATTATTGAACCATCTATTTTGTATATTCTGAAGGTTACACGTACAGTCTAAAAATATAACCATGTCACCAAACTCGCCAATACAAAAAGTAAATAGTTATGTACTAATCAAAATACTAGACTTAGGTACGAAATTTGGTCAATTAATGAAGATATTTTTTCAATCAAATAATTATTTCAAATAACTATGCTAAATCAGACAGTATAACTACTGATATCCTAAAAAAATATGGTTTTTACGCCCCAAACTATAAAATTTATGTCAACATAATTGATCAGAGAGAAAAGTCTGCACTTAACACTAGGTTATTGAACTAAGATTATGTTAGGCTTTTGAATAGACAAAAGCAGACGACACGGAGAAACCCGGCGTGAAACAACGGCAACGCCTGCTTTGTGTTCCACCGATTGAATCACGTTATCGGAAGTCCAATCCCTTCTCCATCCCCAAACTTAATAAAGCCAGCAATGGACCACTCCTCAGTCTAGTAGCGGTTGTCCATGTCCAGTACCGATTGCTTACTATCAACCAACTACAAGTTTGTCGTCATAATCCATAAACAATACGTGGTCTTATGACCATGTAGAACTATACATCAACCTCTGTCATTCTTTTACGTTATAATTTTTCGCTATTGAATAATTCTTATCGATCAAATCCATTGACGTATTTGCCGCAATGATTTCAAAAGGAAAATACGCTAGTAATATTTAAGTCTATGATTTGCCATATAAAGAGATTATAAAAAATACATTATGGAGTGGTTATTATAAGAAAACTAGGCTATTAGGTACTACGTCTCTTATCGACGACAATGCAAGGTCAAATACTGTGAATAGTATAAATAACTAACAGTACAATGAAGGTATGGACACAATTAAAATCAGTAGTTGTCGCAAGTTCATTTTATTTTTCTAAATGGGAACTAACTCCCAGTCTCCAATCAACTTAATCGATTTAAGCAGGAGAAAGAACGGGGGTTTTTAGTCAGTAAGAGTCTGACACTCCCTCCCACCCGACTCTTGGCGGGAGAAATAATTTGATGATTTTCACCCATCGATCACTAATAAAGAACTAGATACACAATCCCATACAAAAGTTCGCTTCAAAACTGTCGCCAACTGTATTTAGGTACTTATACTTGAAATAAACATGCATTAATGTAAATTAAACCTTAAATGCAACTCTTAGAGTTGTTTTTACAAAGTGATGTACAAAATCTTAATATTTTTTGCGACCGAAGCTCTTGACAAACATAAATCATAAGAAATTGAACCATATTCGAGTCTTTAAGTCGAATTTACAAAGTGTCAAAAATAAGCAATAAAATTTAACGACTTCGGCTCACCACGGACAAAGAATGATTGAAGTCGAAATGTCTCGTAAGAAATATATTTCTTTCGTATTTTATAATTTCTCAAAAAAAGAAAATACGCAAATTAAAACGCATTACTTATAGTATTCTTTTCTATAGGCTTGTTCATTTATTTACCAATGAAACTAATGCATATAGTTATAATTTTTTTTTTATTATTTTCGTCCTCCTTAATCCTTTCTATTCGAAGTCAAATAAAAAAGATGTAAAATAATAAAAAGAATATATATCTAAAGTAAGTACTGAAAATGTTGGCGTTATTGTTGTCAATTTTTCATATCGGACGGGTTTTGATAAAAGCTAAAAAAAAAATTTCTTTACTGCAGTTAAAATTAAATCCATTATATCTGCCTATTCCATATTTTAATAAACACAGTAAAGAAGTATAATATTAAATAAAAACTATTTTTTAATAAAAAAAACAATAAATAAAATTAGAAACAATAGCGTCTCCACTAAACGGAACAGAATCAATCCACGTAAACCGAACAACTTAAGTGGTCATGCTAGAGAATGATTTTAAGTTTAGTATAAGTGTCTTTATAAACTGTGTGCATTATAACCCCGGTTTTTGAATACGATTTCATTTGGAAAAAGTTTTAAAGTTGATTTCTTAATAAAATATCCATATTTAAAATAGAATGATGACAATTATATAATGATAATATTATTACTTAACGAAAATATGAAATTCCATCCTTTTTTGCGTCTTAGATGTGTGTTTTTTGCAGTTTTTAAACGAGCACTGAGGCGTGTTTACCGTCGGAGCATTCGAGTGGTACTAAACTAAAACTACACCGCGATGTTGAGTTTGGTGGACTTTCAGTTAGGACATTTTTTTGTCACTGATTGTGTATCTAGTTCTTTATTAGTGATCGATGTTTTCACCACACAAAAATAACCTATTTGATTTGACAATTGGGTAGTTTTGTAAGTCTAGGATAAATTATTTTAAATAAGTAAATTAATAAATTATGTAAATATAATCATACCTTCATTCACTGATTTGACGATATAAGTAGGTAAAAAAAAAAATATTATTATATAAAATTCATAGAAAATAACTTTTTTGCCATTTTAATAAAAGTTTTAAATTTGATTAGTTGCGAACTAAGTACATGATTCCAGACACCCAAATCGATTTAGATCACCAACTTCAAAAAGAATCTAAGACTGATTGTGGCATTTTTTAAACTCAATCATAATCTGCTTTGCAATTTAGGTGCAAAAACTTAACGAACTATTCCACTTTTGATACGAGGAGAAAGAAAAAGAGGCGTGTACGAAGGAGTGTCCAACGACCATAACAAGAAGCAAGTTATTCAGAGAAAGTTGTGAAATGATGTAACCTCGGAAACCAGAAATCTTGGATATTACGTCACCACATGACCGCGACTTTAGCGTAGTCATATACGATGAACCGCATATTATAATGGCTATGGCTATGGCCGCATATTATAATATTATAACACATGGCTTCTAATTTTAGAAAAAATATAGATACGTTTGTTCAACTGCATTAGCAACCATTCTTTTTTGCCCGTATATATTGTTAATTTATGGTCAGGGTTGAAGTCTGAGGTCAATCACCTTCATCATCAGTATTTGTCCAATTCTTAACAATACCACGCCATTAAGATCTACATTCAGCTCTGTATATAATATTATTAAAACAATTTCAACGTCTAAATACAATCAACAAAGAAAGGATCAAGTGTGGGGAGAGCCATGCTTCGGCACGAATAGACTGGCTCGACCGGAGCGATACCACGATCTCACAGAAAACCGGCGTGAACCAACACTTACGTTGTGTTTCGCCGTCTGAGTGAGGTTACCGGACGCCCAACACATTCCCCTCCCCATTCTCAATCCTTAAATTTCTAATAACCCACAAGAGGTCGGCTACGCACTTGTAGTAACTCCATTGGTATTGCGAGTGCCTATGGGCGTTGATTGCTTACCACCAGGTAATCCGTCTGCTCGTTTGCCGACGTATGACATGAAGAAATCAAATCAAATCAAATCAAATCAAATTCTTTATTTCAAATAGACCAAAAAAAGGCACTTTTGAACGTCAAGCAAGAAGATATCATAAGGTTTAACTTTATATGTGTCCGTCTGTCCTCTAGTGAAGCTATTTGCTCGTTCCAAAGTGTAGATTCCTATGGAGAAGAACGAGCAAGAAACTCCATGGTTACTCTTTTTCAATCACTTTTTACAATGCATTGTTACATAATTTAGATAGTTCCATTATGTGAGAACAGTGTAACATTAGTGTTTAACCAAAGGATCCGAAAAAGAGATGAACCTCAGGGACAGCAACTTTAGACAGTCTCGAGTTGACCAGTCCCAATAGGCGGCGTCCGTTCACGAACATGACACGTACACCAGCACCGCCCAACTCAACCATATTATAGGGAACCGAGGGGTCCAGTGCCCGTGCCACCGCCAATGAGACTCCTGAGTGAGCATGACAACTCCCAACTGACACAAGTAATCAACACAAAAGAAATTATGAAGGTCATATTGGTAGTTGAAATAATAGAGATGTGTGAAGAAAGGTCGAGTGCAAAATGCGTTCCTAATTGATTGGTAATTCAAATTTATCACATAAATGCACTTTCAACCACCTCTGACATTAATTAGTGACGTTAATACGATGTTTACCTCTTAGGGAACAAAGTGCAAACGACGTAATTACAATATTATTTTTATTGGACACAGATAACGAAACAAAACGTGTATTCGAGTGGAATAATTGCGCTATATTGTCGCGTCACATGTCGAATGAATTAACGCGCAAATTATATCAATAAGTTTCAGAATTCTTAGACGACAATTATTTTAGGTCGTATTATTTTTTTCGAAATTTTATATGGATTATAATTTTATACCTGCATGTAAATAGCTGTGAACCGAGGTGAAAGAGGTGTTGATTTCAACTCGGTACAATCTAGCAGGTAAAGGTGTATAAGGAAAATCCATATTTCCCCATTTACATTACATTTAAATTCAAACGCATTAGTACGAACAAAAACGTTTTTATTGGTTTTAGAATTTTTCTAATTATTACACACACTCTAATCATCACAATACTATATTACCGATGTCCGAAAAGTCAACTACGAATCTCACTCTACCTATTCTGAGCAATTACAATAAATTATAACGAATCGTGATACGTTGACATCCTGAATAATGAATAACTTAAAATTGTTGGCCATTTAATATGTCGGAAATAATGGCGCTAGCTTCTTATGACTACATGGAATCCAGGCGAAAACCAATCTTTGATGAATTTTCCCGAGTTATATGTACCTACTTTCTATGATTATTTAGACACCGCTGACTTACGGTGAAGGAAAACATCGTGAAGAAACCTGGACTTATATTTCTAATTATAAGTTTGAAATCGCCAATGTGTCTTGAGCAAGCGTGGGGATGATGCTCAAACCTTTTCCGTGTGAGAAAGGCCTTTGCTCAGCAGTGGGCACTTATAGGCTAATGGTGTTATGATATATTCAGACAAAATAAAAGACAAAAGAGTTGCACTATATGAAGCAGTTACTTGCCCTCGACTTTCCTTCCAACAACCCAAGTAGTTATTACAGTACCAATAGAAAAACGGACGTGCTTACTTCAGAGCCATTGTTTACATAGTCGTAGTGGTTTTGATCAATGTCCTGCTTGGGCAACAGCCATTTGCAACACGCAGCGAAACATTACATGTTTGCAGTTGGAAGATAGGCATCGGTGATTTGATAGATTATAATTGTCTTTTTTTTGGCAAACGAGCAGACGGATTACCTGATGGTAAGCAATCTGCGTCACACATGGACACCCGCAACAACGGAGGAGTTACTGAGTTACGTTGCCGACCATTTTGGGGATTAGGGTTTCGGATATTTAAGATTTGGGAAGGAATGGGGGAGGAGAAAGTTTGGGCCTCCGGTAATTTCATTCGGACGGCGAAACATAACGCTGTGATGGTTCACGCCTGTCTTCTGCGAGGACGATATCACTCCAGTCGAGCCGACGATTGGCTCGCCGACACTTGAGTTTTTTCAATACAGTTCTGATTCATTTTTGGATTCAAGGTATAACACAACATGACCACAGAAAAAAATGTGAAGATTTTGGAGGAAACACTTTTACGAATGTAACCTAACCTAGGTATGGTAATAAAGATGATACTAGCCTACAATGAAAACCTAAGTTTTTAAGAACGGCGACATCTTTATTTTTAGTCTAATTCCTAGTGATTTCATCATCATGACATGACATTTTTTTAAGATCTAAGCATCTAACAGACTGCAGCAGGTGCGAAAAATGTATATTAAACTATCAAACAAAAATTGAAAAAACTGAAGGACAATAAAACTAGAATAACACACCGAATTGCAGACAGGTTATTGAAAACAAGATCAAATTACGTAACCAAATTGAATATTAATTGTGATACTACTTTTAATTAATCCAAAAAGAAGAATTTTGTATCAATTAAAAAGCAACAATAAATAAACATTATAAATACCATGGCGCATGATACCTATGTCATCAAACTACCAATAAAATCGCTTTCAAGGGTCAATAACACCTCCCCTCCTAAAAAGGTGGTAATAACTATCATAGTAGGTAGGTTTACCTGCTACCAAGGGAAAATAAGGATTTATATCTAAGTACAAGGTAAAAATACACAAATTATGAGAAAGAATTCATAATGACAGTGTAACTGTAAAATTAGCCAGCTGATCGTGCCATTTTCCACTCAAGAACCTTACCTTGCTAATTGGTTTCAGCGACGAAAATCGTGAAAGGCTCATATAAATAAGTAGGTTCAATATTACTGTACTGAATGACGCGACGGGGTTAAATGAGGTCAAGTTGATAGCAGAAAATATTACTTCTTCGTTCAACTACACCACTAATAAACAACCGAATTGTACAAGAGACCATTGATTAAGAGAAGAAATAAACTCAGATCGTCTAAAGTTTGTGAGACTTGTAAGTAACGCTAAACCTCGTGGCAACCGTAGTCACTGCGGCAAAAATAACATGGAAGACCTCTGTTCAGAAGCAGACGTACTCAGCTGATGGTGAAAAGTTCGTACAAATCTCTGAAACGCAAATCTAGACTAGACCTTATGCTGTAAGTAAAGCATAAGGTCTTGACAAGTAATAGTTGTGAACAAAATTATGATGAAGAGTTCACTTTGCAATTATTACAAAAAAAAATAACAGATAGCACAAAAAAAGCCAAGGCGAATACCCAAACATTTATAAGTAGCTTGTAAGATATTGATCCAAAGCATTTAGATAAATCACTATATGTTCTCTGATTCAAAGCATGTTAAAATATTTGCTCATAAACCGCTATGCAAACGATGACTATTAAAATTATTGTTTGTAGGGTAAATTCATGTCGGAAGTAGATTTTATATGGGAATGTTTGATTTTGAACAGGTTTAGACAAAATTTTGGCCAATAACGAGAAGATTTATGAAACGCGTCTAAGTTTTGCTAAATTCAAAGTCCATTGTAAAACACCTAATGATTACTTATTATTCAAATCTTTCGCATTAAGGAAAAAGACGGTGTTATGGAATAAAATCGATAATACAAAGTACAAGTATAACTTATAAGGTCAGTATCTTTTGGCAAGTTTAAAATTGAAGGTCACCTTGTTCGACCTGTTTCATTTGATTTTTAAATCGCACTGTACCTATTTTGGTGTTACAATAAGGAAATAAAGCAAAACTACTAATTTGAGGAATATTAATTTAGAAAAAACAAAATATGTTTGTCTAATTTTGTAGACGGGCATCAAATATTTTGGTATATAATAAAAAAGATTGAAAGGCTTAGTCGATGATTTTAGTTTTTATTTTTTGGAAATTTAGGATTGACACGAAAACGAAATCGATATCATAATTTCATAATATTACGAGTTACAAGGCTAATTCATTTTATCACATCATTGAGAGATAATAACACTCGTAGCAAAATTTTGAAGGGCATGGATGTAAGTGGTTTGAAAACCATTGTTATCATTGACAAAGATGATACATACAAAATCATAAGAAAATCGGCATGTATTTGGTGTTCCTAAAAAGGCACAGCTGATTTCGACGCGTCACTATCTAGACAAAATATGTCCAGTCAAGAATAAGGATTATTTTGTCAATGTTAAAGTTTAGATTAGACTAAATAACGACAATAAGATCAAGACTAACCTGCATAACGGTAACAGCTCCATACGTAATCGCGATCCAATATATAGAGCCTAAGAGTACTCCTCCGGCGATGAACGGGCAAATCTTGTGAGTGATCTCTTCCATCGCGTCTAGAAGTGCAACAAATGCACCCATAGACGGGAACACAACAATATATTCTGCCTTGCACTGAGGACACAGCACTTTCCGAGTTATGTTACCTCTTTGCTTTTCGTCCACCCACCGCTGCAGACAACTTTGATGCACCTGAAACAAGGAAATAATATTTATATTCCACTGATAGATTGAACGACTATAATTAATGAAGCACACCTGGCGTATTGATTAGATATCAATAAAATAACTATGAGTAAAGTTTTCGTATACAACAATCAGCCAAAATGAAGTAGGCATAAAATCGTAGCTACTGCGCAAAAACGTACGAGTTCGTTGTTTAAATATTTTCTTTTACTAAGGGCTTTGGTGTTTTTCTTTTATATTTTAATCTTCCTGATTATATTTGGATCTCCAATTACTGTTGAAGCGAAAAGGAAAATATTCTTAAAGGTAATATGGGTATACGTACCCCATGTGTAAGACTCATAATGACATCTAGCTACACTTTTAAACTTAAAAGAAAGCCATGGGCATGTGTAATGGCTTTGCATCACAATATTATTAACAATTATAAGTTTGTTCCTAACCAAACTCATCGTAACATCATCGTATAGTAAAGGTCACGTTTTTTTATGACACAAATACAATAATCAGCGTCGTTATAACTGATCCTTTATAACCACTGAGACGTCATTCTTTATCGACGTGCAGTCAGTAGTTAATAATTATTATGGGTTTTACCAGCGCAAAACTTAACAACTTCGCGTTAAATAATAAACAAAATGGTAAAGACAGGGAGTAATGAAATGAATCATTTGTCATCTTGGCAAATTTGAGACGGGCAAGTATAAGAACAACATTGAAAACATATTCGATAACGCTCTTCCATACAATTTGTTACTAGTTTTCACTAATTAATTAAATAAATTGATCCTATTTCGCTTAGTTATGATCTAAAAGTCCAATGTTTCATAGTACTTCAAACTAAATAATAAACGAGAAAATACAGATTTAAAAAAGATTGAAAATAATCTCTCGATGGTGTTAAAGAAATCATTCATTTTCAATTGATTGGACACTGCGAGCTGAATGAATTAAGTGCAAAGGTCAGGGCTGAGTTGACAATGATTCTTTGAATTACTGTGTTGCAATTAATCAATAGATTGTTCAACTTTTCAAAATCAAAAATGTGCCGCAATTAAAACAGAAGTATTGTTTTAATTACAAAAAAAAGAATACCTCGATGTTGACGTTGCAATTGTGGCTGACTAATACTGAGTAACCCCGGATTTTCACAAATCCAGAATATGGAGTGAGGTAAAGAGTAAATTTTTAGAATTATTAATTATTTGGTGACTACACAGTGCTTAAATGTGTCAACTTTAGGATGACGAGCGATGGAATCTACAAAGCCTACAAAATTATTACAACTACAAAGTTAAAATATTCTAGTTCAGTATTTACTGTTACTTCGTACTTATATCTACGAACAAAATGTGAAAATTTGGACTGAAAATATTACGATGCTTTTCAGTAGTACAGCTACAGGAGCTATTCAGGTCACTATCCGGTAGTTCAGAATAATAACAAACTCATTACCATCTTTCGCATTTTGTTTATTTTGCGATCTGTCCAAGGCTTTTGAATGAGTCGGTCATTAAAAAAAAGCTAGTTTTTACAGTCAAGAGTTTAAAAGAAAGTAACTTTTTAGTTTCATGTTGGCTAGATAGTAACAGCCTACAAACAGGGCAGTCAGGTAAGTCATATCCGATGGATATTATTACGATACGATATTGTAGAATTGGGGTACCCCAAGGTTCTGTCATGATTTCATTGTTACCAATATTACTGTCTTAATTGTTTGTACTTAAAACATATCAACGTTTGTTTGTCAGTACATTTAAGTATGGTAAAGTTTGTTTTAAAATTTAGTTGCCAAAATTATTTACGTTATGATAAGAATAAAACAGGAGATACTACAGTATCTCCTGTTTTATTCATTATTTATTCATTTTTCATTTTATGTTTATGATTTACAATTAAATATTGCTTAGATAATTCATAATTCCACACCCACATGGGTACCTTATTCTCCAACACCGATCAATCACAATGAAGGTCAAATAAATAAAGCCCTTACAATATGTCCTATATTAAAATCATCCGATACAATGGCGATAAGAAAACAATGACCTACAAGAACGAAAAGTCATATCTTTTGAACATGGACAAGACATTGTAACGATCTTTTTGTGTTTAGTACCTAAATATAACAAACTTTATCCTTTTCTTTTGTCTTTTATCGCTAATGCGACCCATACCTAACGAACAACTCAGTTTATAAACATTTTTTTGAAAGAGATAAATAGGAATTACGTATTCATCTTTAATGTTTTTATTTTTTTTGTGAAATTCTCTTCTTTTCCATTTTCAATTCTACTTTCTTTATCTAGAAGACTACCTTTTTTTATATGATAGGTCGGCAAACGGGCAGACGGATTACCTGCTGGAAAGCAATCAGCGCCGCCCATGGACATCCATAACAACAGAGGAGTTACGAGTGCGTTGCCGACGACCGAGAATTAGAGATTGAGGAGGAATTGGGGAAAGGGAAGGCTTGGGCCTCCGGTAACCTCATTCACATGGCGAAACACAACGCTGTGGTTGTTTCACACCGGTTTTCTATGATAAGGCCGTAGTATCACTCTGGTTAAACAGACTCATTCGTGCCAAGGCATGGCTCTCCCACACTTAAAATCTAGCTTATTGGCTGCCTAGTAGTTAGTAGTTATACAAGCGCAACAACTGCACAACAGAGATGATAATGAGATAAGGCCTGATTTTTTCTTCTTCCAAGATTCTATTTGAAATGAAACCTCACCATAAAATCCCTATCTGCCATACTCAGAGTTGTTTAATGGTCACTTAACACATTCCTTTGCTATTGTTTTCGGATAACAATCGTTGCTATGGACTAATTTAAGTAATTTAATGATTTAATGCCTGAGAATACCTACGGACGTTTGTCTAGAACGGCGGCCATCATTTGTTTATAGACTGGTCGCCTGATACTGATACCTTGATATACATTGTTACTTTGTCAAAGTAACTAGTTCATTATTTATTTATACTGCAATGCACCTAATTACCTACCTACGTACATTTGCAGGCAAGTCCTGAAGCTAAATTCTATGTCGATGCTATTAAAATATAATGCGATCGTAACACGCAAACGGAATGCCGCATCATAATAATTTCTTAGTACAATGTTAAAAGTACAGATTGCAGTGAATGGTTTTATGATTTTATTAATTTTTGAGACTGAACAAAATATTTCGTGTAAATTATTAAATAAATATTCTTTAAAGATTCAGGTTTTAGTTCCATAAACTAGGACATGAACACAATCTGTTTATTTTAAAGGGGGCGAGATCATTATGTCTTCTCTCTCCTGGGGGGAGACAGAGTGTCAGACCACCCTGTTTAATCTCCAACTGGGGCCGCAGTATGTAATTGCGCTTGAAGATCTGAATCTGTTGAAAAGTCAGTGGGCTCATATATGTATTAATATCACAAAACTAATTGATTAATATGACTAAGAAATTCATCAACAAATCTAACAATCAGGCTTTAGGACTAGAAATACAATAAAATCATAGATAGATAATCTAAATGATCAGATGGACTTAATACAGAATAATCCAAGAATACAATACAATATGACACAAATTATTATATCTAAGTATAACTTAGTTCTAAATCTGTAGGAATTAGTGATAAAAAGTGCCCCATATTCAATTTCAACCACAATAATATATACATAATAATATGGCTAACTGATAAGGTTGTAAAACAATAATTTGCAAATTATCTGTGATAAAATGAATTTAGTGCAGATAATGTAATCTTTTGTTTACCAAATTGGTGTTAACTTCACAGATATGTTCAATTAAACTAGCTACCCTTTGAATCTTATTAGGAAACTATACCAATTCCATACTATATGTTGCTTACCATCAGGTAATAATCCACCTGCCACCGTATCACACAAAACAAACAAGATATTGCTCTATTTGTTTACGGACTTAATCCATAAAAAAATCTTTTAACATGTACTTCACATCATTTAAAAACAAAACAAGAATTATTCATGTATTTTATCTGAATGGGGGACAAGATTAATCTCACACAAAGAGTTATATTTAAATCTTGAGATGCACTGATAACCTTGACAGTACATTGACTTTAAAAACAAGGGTTTATGACAACCTCATCAATATTCCGGCTACTGTAAGAATAAGAACAAAGGTTTTATTAGCATGTAATCACAAGACTGTTTCTATCTTATGTTCCACTCTTTTTTATATAGTAATTTGATAGCACCACCTTTTTTAGACTACTGCCAAATAACTGACTTTACAAACTTTATTTTTACACTTTTCTATGTAGAAGTTTCTTTTTTCATAGTTAATTAAGTAAAAAATGTAATGGAGATAAACGAAATTAATTTGGAAGGTCTTCTGCTAAAATTTACAATACATTACGATGACATATCACTACAAAGTATAATAAACATAATCACTTCCCTATGCATGCTTAAATCTTCAAAACTACTTGAGAGATTTTGATATGGTTTTTTTTATTACATCTAATAATTCAAGAGGAAGTTTCAAGTGTATAATTTATATTGGTTTGTGAATAAAGTTATGGGTAGGTTTTAAATAATTAACTCAACATGCAAATATCAGACTCAGGTACAATATTTCTGTGTACTAGGCTAATGAGGAAGTAGTATTATCACTTGTTTTCAAGCATAGGCGTTAATGAATCAATAATTTAATAATATTATTGATTTCATTCAGGAATTTGACTCACATCTAAAACTAGATAAGACAATTTTGAAGAAGATAAGAAAATTTTGTTTCTCAACAAAGTCACCTTCAATTTATAAAAAATAAATGTATTGATGATCTATGTAATTATAAAGTATTAAATGAGGGTAGGTTTTTTAAATTATTTATCTTAAATTTAGATAATATGTTAATAAGACCAGCTCCAAAGTAATTTTATAATTACTGGCAGTGCTGTAGGTAATTATTTAATATTAGTTATGGTTGGTATTTGCAATGTTTTCAAATACAATAAGAGTATTTTTATAACACACATACTTCATTCACTTGCCTGTAATTACCGATCCAATTCCTAAACAAGAAAAGGGTACAATCTGGTGAATTTACGTAAAACCAGGCTACCCAATAAATTACACAACGCAATATACTACGCGGCTATTAATTAAACTAGATACAGGGTAAATACTCAGTGGTGTTTACACAAAATAATTGGAGCAAACAACACTTAACTTTCACTTCCTCACGTGTTTATATCACAAATCGGAAGCGCAAAACATAACTACGTTCATCTATAACATGTACTAGTCATAAACTTACCCATTTCGTGGTCCCGATGCACTTACAAGGCTGTACCCATGCAGCCAACCTATCATCGGCCTCCGTTGCAAAACACACCCAACATGACTTCGCATTTTCATCCTCAGCAGGTTGCAAAGCCTGAGAACTCGCCAAATTTGAAGCTTCACCTCCAGACACTGGTTTTTCACTAGCCATCACTAACTGCGTTTAATTAACAAATAAATAATCACACTACAAAAATACAACGAGCGAACCGCAATAGTTCTCAACAACAACTAACAAAGCTTCTGTCTAAGACGTTGTTACAATAAAAATAATATTTACTGCGAACGCGATAAAAATACTTTTGTATTTTATTTTAATAAACAGCTGTCGCAAGGTTTTTAGAAATTTCGTTCGTTTTGACAAGATTGTGTGAAGTTGTATTTCAAGATTTGCTGTCTTGTTTCAAAATGAATGACTGAATGAAATAAAGAATGAATCTAGAGTAGTGTTGTGCACATTCATGTATCAAAATGCGGTAAAGTCTAAATTGCCGGTTAAGATTAAAACATTAACACTAAAAATATTGTATTATATTTTTTTTATATATAATCATAATTTATTTTACATAGATTTTCATCACAATCTGAGAAAACGTCCTATATAATTATCGTAGATCTGATAGTAGTGCCATCTTCTGTAATTTCTATAAACTTCGTCATCGAAATACCTACCCTACTAGCCATAAGATGGCAGTACTTGAAAGACTTTTCAAAAAATAAATAACGAATGTTGGAATAATATAATTATATCTAATACTCCATAATTTAAATAAATGTAATGTTTGAAACAAGCAGTGCAAACACAAAATAAAAAAAGTCAGCCGGTCAGCTGTCTAATTTAGATAACGTCAATGTCTTGGCTTGTCACTGTCATTTCTCGTAATCTTATTCAATTCACTTCACGTTTTTTTTTGGAGGTTTGGTCTTGACACGGTGTGTTTACTTAACCTCAAATTCTGTTTTTGCAAATTAGTTCTTAGTGTTGTCTTTGTTTTGTTGCCTGGTGACGGTTATTTATAAGGTAGGTATAAGATTTCTTTTTCCTGTGAGACTCATTTCTCACGAAATGAGTGCCGAGGAACCCCCTGATGGGGGTGGAGGAACCCCTCCGGATATTCAAATGAATAGTTCTTTAGCTTCTGGTGCAAGCCAACAGACTAAATCCACCCTAAAACGACCTGCTGATTGTGACTCGAATATTGAGTCTAAGAAAAACAGACCTCCGTCTGACTCAATTCAATCTGTTTTTACTAAGCCCGGCTTTGAAACAAACTCCAAGCTCTCCTACAATGAGTGTGACAGAGCACCCTTTACTGTTTTTGTATCGAAAATAGAACCTGACGCTGCTGCTGGCTCAACGCTAAAAGTCTTAAAGTTCGCGCAATTTCTCCACAAAAACAACATCAAGGGAATCACAGAAGGAGGAATCAAATCTTTAGGCCGTAATAAGCTCTGTATTGAATTTAAATCTGCCAATGATGCCAACTCCTTTGCAGAGAATGACATCCTTACCGCCAACAATTTCACGGCTAAGATTCCTCGCTTTCAAGTAACCCGTATGGGTATAGTGAGGAATATTCCTACTGACTGGACCTTGGAGGACTTAGTTTCGGGAATAGAAACTCCTCAAAATTGTGGGGAAGTTATCAAAGCTAGACGCCTCAATTTTAAAAATAAAAAGGAAGACTCAATTTACTGGTCGCCTTCTTCCACCGTAGTTTTGACTTTCTCTGGGCAAACACTTCCAGAGAAGGTCTATTGCTACAACGCCTCTCTCCCTGTCTCAATTTACCATCTTCCTACAATTCAGTGCCGCAACTGCCTACGCTTCGGTCATATCCGCACTCAATGCCGATCGAAACCCCGCTGTTTTAAATGTGCCCAGCCACACCCTGGTGATACATGCAATGTCCCCGACTCACAAGCTACATGTATTCTATGTGAAGGTGGTAACCACAAGGCTACAGATGATCTCTGTCCCGAGCACTCCAGACAGAAATCCATTAAAATGGTTATGTCTGAAGAGAATTTAAGCTATAGTGAGGCATCTACTAGATTTCCCCGTTCTAAACGGTCCTACTCCGACGCTGCTGCAAACATTCCACAAACCCAAATGTCCCAAGCTCCTTCTCTTAATTTCTCCCAACTATTTACAGCTCCTCCCCCAACTTCTTCCTCTCCATTTACTTCTCCCTCCAAAACATCCTATACCAAGACCATATTCCGTTCCCCTAGATCTAGACCCGCACTGAGCAAGTCTTACGACGTCCAAGCTCATAGGACGATTGTTTCTTCCCCCAACTCCTCCCAACCCAACGGCTGTGCTCTTAAAGATCCCACGTTTTCGGATTCCACTCCTCTTCCTACCCCTAATGACAATCTAATCGAGTTATTATTTTGCTCCCTCATTAATATCCTCTCTAAATTTAGTGACGCTCTACCGAACAATGTCTTAGTCCTTATTGAACAATTGCTCCAAACCTGGTCCCGAAAGAATGGCCAAGATCCTTCAATGGAACAGTAGAAGTATCCGCCAAAAAAAACACGACCTACTGCATCTAATAAACCGCCACACTCCTGTCCTCTTTGCGGTGTCGGAGACATGGCTCAGACCTGGATCCCTCTTCAGAGTCCCTGGGTTCTCGTGTCTCCGAGACGATAGAGACGATGGGCGGGCGGGATGCGCCTTGCTGATCAGTAGGTCTATCTCCTTTTCCCAAATCCTCATTCCTCTTCACTCTCCCGGACTTCATGTTGTTGCCATCAGAGCCATGGATATTTCCTTTGTTTCTGCTTACATTCCTCACCCTAATGCCAACCTTCTATCTGAATTTAACTCCATCCTCTCTGCTATCCCTAACCCTTTGGTGGTGTTAGGTGATTTTAATTGCCGCCACACGCTTTGGGGTTCTCCCATCAATGACCCCACATCCAGTTTTTTATTAGATCTCCTAGACGACCTAAATCTCTGTGTCCTCAATGATGGTTCAGCAACACGTAGGGTTTCCCCTACTCAAAATGTTAGTGTCCCTGATCTTTCACTTGCGTCTCCTTCCCTAGTCTCTACTCTTTCCTGGTCTGTCCTGCCATACTCATATGGCAGTGATCACTTCCCAATATTAATCTCTATACATAATTCCTACTCTCCTACCCCTCCCATCAATCCTCTTCAGAAATATCGCCTACTTCAAGCAGACTGGGATAAATTTTCTTCTCTGTTAGATTCTGATCTTCAATCCTTTCCCCAGGTGAACTCCTCAAATTGCCTTGCCCTGTATGAGGATTTTGTCGCTTGTTTAATACGAGCGGCTGATTCTTCCATTCCCTTAAAGAACTCCGCCCGTAAATTTATCCCTTCCCCCCCATGGTGGGATGCAGAATGCTCTGACAGCGTTCGAAAACGAAAGGAGGCAGAAAAAAGATATGCGTCCTCTATAAACATGGCCAATTACCTAAATTTCAAGAAAACTTCTGCCCGCACCCGCAGGTTATTGGCAAGGAAAAAGAAAGATGGATGGCACAACTTCTGCGAATCATTATCCCCTCGCTCTCCAGTTTCCCTAGTCTGGCAAAAAATCAAAGCTTTTCGCAGAGTCTGCGACGACCACTCACCAGATATCTCATCCAACGATCCTGGTTGCTGGTTAGAGGACTTCATAAACAAGTTGGCCCCCCCCTTTGTCCCTAGTTTAGAATGCTTTCCCTCTTTGGACTCTCCTTCCCTTCCCTCTGATAAATTTGATGATCCATTCTCTCTCTCTGAGTTGTCTTTTGCTTTAGAACATCTTCGGGACTCAGCCCCGGGCATAGACGGCATCCCGTATTCCTTCATCTGTAAATCCTCTCCTGTTTGCAAACAAATATTCCTTGCCCTTATCAACTCCTTCTTCCTCTCCGGCCTCATCCCGGAATCTTGGAAATCCCAAATAGTTATCCCGATCTTAAACCTGGCAAAGATCCAAAAGATTCTTCTTCATACAGACCCATCGCTTTATCTTCTGTTCTAGCTAAGATCGCGGAGAACCTTATAAAGAACAGGTTGGAATGGTTTTTAGAGTCCAAGGGCATACTTTCCGCTTCCCAATTTGGGTTCCGAAGAGGCAGGGGTACCCTAGACAGTCTGAGCATCTTCACTTCTGATGTTCGAATTGCCTTCTCTCAAAACGAAAGCGTCCTGGGCGTTTTCCTTGATATAACGTCAGCTTACGATAATGTCCAACTTCCAATACTCAGGCAGAAACTGCATCAGCTGAGTGTCCCTGTGAGGCTGGTTAACATCACTTGCAGCTTGCTAATGTCTCGTTATATATCAATTCGACATCAAAATTCCATCTCTTCACCCCGCTTAGTCTGGAAAGGCCTACCCCAGGGTTCGGTCTTAAGCCCTCTCCTTTATAATGTTTATACCCACGACTTAGAATCCTCAATTAGCTGTTTCTGTAAAATCCTTCAATACGCAGATGACATTTCTCTTTATTTCAGTTCGTCCTCTCTTACAGAGGCTTCTTCCCGCTTGAATTCTGCTTTGTTCTATCTAAACCAATGGTTAAATGATCATGGCCTATCCCTATCTGTCCCCAAATGTAACGCTGTAGTATTTTCACGTAAACGTAACATCCCCCCTATTAATCTATATATTGAAAATGAAACCATGGTGATCTGTGACAAAGTTAAATTCCTTGGCATAATTCTGGACTCAAAATTATCTGGCCTCCATCATCTCGATTTCATTAGTAAAAAATGCGAAAAGGGCGTGAATGTCTTACGTGCTCTCTCGGGGGTTCGCTGGGGCGCTCACCCTGCCACCCAAAAAATTTTATATAATGCCATAGTGCGAAGTCATTTCGACTATGGCAGCTTTCTTTTGGAGCCATGCAACAAAATCGCTATGTGTAAATTGGACAAAATTCAAGCCAAATGCCTTCGAATCATAACAGGTGCCATGAAATGCTCTCCCTCAAATGCCCTACAGGTTGAATGCCTGGATCCTCCTCTTTCCCTACGCAGACAATTCCTCGCAGACAGATTTTTTTTCAAAGTCATCCAAATCAAATCCCACCCCCTTCTTCCCCTCTTACAAACTCTTTGTGAACTAGTCCAGTCTTCCCGCTACTGGTCCCACAAAGATCCCCCTCTTCTTGTTAATAGTTACCGATCAACACAGGACTTGCCCATCTCTTTATGCCAGTCTAATTTCAACCCGCTTTTTGAAGTTAGTTTCGAATCTCTGATTTTTCAACCAAAGGTTATTTTTAGTTTTGGCATTTGCAAAAACGACCCCGGTGCCAATAACAAGTTAAATAAGATTTTAACGGAGGACTGGCCAGATTGGCTCACTATGTTTACAGACGCGTCCAAAATTTCAGAAGACAGTATTGTGGGTGCTGCTGTTTG